CTTATTAGAACCTTCAAACAGCTTGGGGACATTTTGAAAAGTCTTCTCCAACACGTGTGCTTCCCAAGTGCCAACCGACAGTCCCTGATCGTCCCTCTCTGTGGTGTCATCCCTGAATTCCCAAGTAGTCCTGCATTTCAGTTTATATTCCATTCAAAGCGGAACTTGGGCACGCCCCTTCCCCTTCCATCCCCCTACTTTATTATCTGTTTGCCACTAATAACAGAACAGTATCTGGAGAGAAACATATGTTATCCCCAATTCATTGTGGAAACAAGGGCATAAAAGTCAAAGGCCGTGCCTAAAATCCACACACTGTATTTTAGTGGGACGTTCACACTCAGAAGTGCCAAGGCACGGTGATTCTGGTAGGGCTCTGCACTTTCCTCTCCTCTCCTCTCGCTGCTAACCTTGGCAAAGCATAGTTTGATTCCGTGCCATCGTGCCTCCTCTGGACTTCTATAACATTCCATCTTGTTTTTCTCTCTAATTATTGTATTTGCCTTCTGCCTTCTATTCAAATATTTGTTCATATGATACAGCCTCCCACTCATCATGAATTATCCAATTCCCTCAATAGGGCAGCTATCATTGTACAGTTGATTCTCTCATTAAAAATGATTTCTAAGGCACATTTCTTTCACCAAACTTGGGTCCTTTGTCTTACACTGTTTGGAGAGAGAGGTGCTTGCATCTGATACAGAATAAAAATTAAAATCAAGAAAACAAAAACAAAAAAACGCCATCTGAATTTGAGGAGACAAAGACAGAGACTTTCCAATGTCAATGCGGAAAATCCAAGCCCTTGGCTGGAGCAGATAGATAGTTCAGTTAAATGCAAGGAGGAAAGATGGGAACCAGACTTCAGAGGAAACTGTTTCTGACCATCAGATGGGAGCTACAGAAAATTAGTGCCCAGAGTTGTGAAATAAAACCCCCAAACCTCCTTACAGCCCAGCTCAGTTCATAGAGCAAAAATATACCCCCAAGGATGCCCAAGGTCATCATCTTCACAGAAGCCGTGCCACCTCTTCCTGCAAGAGGGGCTGCTGGTTCCATTGGCTGACTTTTTGCTCACTGTGCCAACAGGGCTCTTTTAAGTGGAACCAGAAAGCTGGCTTTCTTGACAGAGATGAGGCTGGGTCTTCCTGTGAGCTGCTGCTTGAACTTTATACATAATCCAAATCAGGGCATCACCAGCTCTGTCTTGCTGCCTGATTCCATGCAAATAAGCATAAAGAACAATTAATGAGGCTGTCCCCTGTGGCTCTCCAGGCCAGCAGATCCTAGTAACCCTATGGTTTGGCCAGGCCCATTCCCACAATGTTCTTCATTGGCATGGACCAAAGTCTGCTTCCAGCACCTGGGTCAGTGCTCAGCTGTCAATGCATTATTTGGTATCCTCAGTGGTTAGCATAAAATTGCTACTTTTAAGGTGCTGTTGGCCACAGGAGTGATTGAGCTAGAGGTTAAGACCAGTTCACAGTAATTTCAATGAGTGACAATTTGCCCAGATGCTGCAGAATAAGGAGAATTGCCCAAATTGCTACTGATCTGCAAGAGGCTACTGTACTCTGTGGACAGTGCCCTCTTCACCTAGGAGAAGCTCTACAGGGAGGGTCTTGTTTACTTTGCTTACTCCATCATTCCATCCTAAGTGTCTCGATCATGAAGCCATCTTCCCTCTGCCAGACACACACACACAACACACCCCACACACCAACACACCAGGCATGCACACACGCAAATCCATTAACATTTTCACGACTACAGCTTGGGAAATGGCCAGGACTCTGGAATGTGCTTCCCTGTTCTTCCATCACTTCCACGACAAGCAGTGTGTCTTCATTCAGTATTCCATGAGGATGGCTGCTCTTGCTTTAACTGACGGTACAGGAACCTGGACCGTCTGCTCCCTTCCGTGTATCTGGTGTCAGCATTGTGCTTGGCACAATTAATCAACAGAGGACTACAATTGTAATAAGATGAATCGCTCATTTGAAGCACACCAATCAAATTCATTGATATCCGCCCCCTCAATCTGTGGCGTTTTAGCTAAAACGCTACAAATATCATGCACTACAGCATCGGCGCCTATTGGATAAAAAAATAAGAGGAGGAAAGGGAGGACCCCGTCGTCCCAGCAGCACTGTGCCCTCGGGGGTGATGAAGGATGACTGACAGCTTAAAAGGTTCTTGGGAGAAAGCATCTTGACAGCTCCCCTCCATTATTCACAAACCTTTTTATAGACTTGCCGCACCCTCTCCACACCTTTCTCCTCTCCCTCCAGGTGCCTCTCCCTTCTTCCCCTCCCCGCCCTCCTCGCCAGGGGGCTTCTGCCCTACCCTGCTTTACCTGTCAAGGGATCAATCTGTACCTTGTCCACTGGGAAAAGGGGACATCCCTAAGCAAGAAGTGGGCAAGCCAAGGATTCCAGCTGCCCTCTTCAAACATGGCTAGGTGCTTTCAGATGCTAATTCAGGCTTCAATCTTCCTCTGATTCATCATTACTAAAACCTTAAAATTGTCCAGTGTAGGAGAGACAACTAGAGAAGTGTCTTTTGAAATAATAATATTAAAGGGGGGGGGGGTGAAGAGGAAGAAGGCCTAGGCAGCTGTGAAGGGAGCGACACTGCCCCAGGGTGTGGTGCAGAGTGGGAGGCGGGTGCGCCAAGCAGAAAGTTGCCACTTGAACCCCAAAGTGGTGGCTGTTGCCTCTCTCATGCTGTGCATGTGTGCCTGGAGAGGAGGTATGCTGGGGGGTGGGGGGGAGAGAGAGAGAGAGAGAGGAGGAGGAGGAAGAGGAGGAGAAGGAGGAGGAGATCCCCACTTCTGCTTCTGTGAAGGGAGTCCAGGAGGCGCAGCACTTGACTGCTCTCCAGAAGGTCTGTCCTTTGTATCCACCAGCCAGAACGCTGGGACGATCTGCTTCGGTAAAGGTGATGACAGCCTTGGCAGCCCTGTGCGGCCATTCCACACTGTCCCACAGGTCACTGGGAGCTGGAATTGACTGGCGGGCAATGGGCGTGGTCTGACTGGGTCTGCTCCTAAGGCAAGGTTTCAATGCTCACAAGCTGCTTCATTCTGGGTCCTAACTCTCTAACCCTCCAACCCTCAGGCCCTTTCTTTGGGAGCCTGGGGCAGCTATGCTAAGTCCTCGATCAAGGTCTGGGGGAGGACATCACAGCTTCCAAAGCACGCTCCCCAGGGGTCTGGCCCCAGAAGAGTCTAGTAAACCCATCACTGGCCAGACCACCACTGCGAACCAAGAAGCCCCTCTCGGGAAACCAAGAGTGCCAGCATCTTCATCCCACACCATTTATGGAGCACCTACTATGTGTGCCAAGGAGCCCGGGAGCACTGTCAGGTAAGAGTCGGACTACTAGCTGCACGCTGGGAGGTTCAAACCCACTAGGTGATCTGAGGAAGCCAGATGAGGTTATCTGCTCCCATATCGAAGCCTTAGAAACTCTACCTCCAGTTGCTATTCGTTTACTAAGAGTCAAGGTGACTGGGTGCCACAAGCAGTTTGCACGCAGCTACCAACTGAAAGGCTGTGGGTACAAACCCACCCCACAGCACTGCCGGGAAATGGCCTGGCAATGTGCTTCTGGGAAGATGACAGCCAAGAAAATCCCAAGGAGCTCAGCCCTCTCATTGCTACGTGGGGTCGACACAAGTCAGAACAGATGAGCCCCACAGTGGTTTGGGCTTAGTGTGACTGTATGCCAGGCACTAGAGAAGAGGGCTTTTCTTGGGGGCAGTGTGGTCGTACTCAGAAGGTGCTTCTCCACTTATCTCCCTGGCCCCATGCCTGCGCAGGTGCCCCTGGGGAGGAGGGGGACCAGGCAGGCTGAGCTCCGTCTCTCTCACCTGCTGATCCCCTGAGTGACACACAGGCGCACGTGTGCACGACAGGGGTGATGACAGACAGAGAGAGCCTTGTGGGGGTGGCAGCCCACCTGCACAGGGAGTGTTCAGCGGTTCCAGTCCTGACACAGTGGGACTGTGTTCCTTTGGGAACCTGCCGGAGTGGAGGGGCTGAGCTCGCCCACTCCCTGCGTCAACAG